CAGTTCATGTCTCATTCCCGAATTTTTTCATATTCATTTTTCACATTCATATCATGTAGAATTAATTTTAGATGAGAAAAAAAAAAGTAACAAAAATTTGAGATCATTCATAAAATTTTTTAAACATAAGCTGGTACCTTGAGCAAATCGACTTCGTGATATCCTATTCAAACACAGAGAATACACATTGTTTAGAGAACACTGTTCATGTTCCTGCTTTTTTTTTTCAGCTTATATTATCCATAAAATAACTTTAATCTTAAGAGGCATATGAAATCAAAAACAAGTTAATCAACTGTTATTATTATTATTATGATATATTTTTTGCTCTTGTTCCTTATAAAATAGGTAATGATGCTATTGTAAAAATAAGAAAATGAGAATAAAAACAAACGTAAAAAAAAAAAAACATATAAAGGATATAATCTGCGACAGATTTGAATATAGAGCTGTCATTTGGCATTTTACTTCTCTTCTTCTAACTCAACCAAATAACAACGCTTTTTTTCTTCCGATCAATGAATTAAGATCCAAAACATTTGAACTCTACGAAATTTTATCCTGACACAGATTATACATTAAAATTTGATCATACAGTTAATTTTCGATCTTTCTCAAAAAACTTCAAGCTTTCAGTGGATTAATTATAGTTAATTAAGTGATATGAATTGTAATGAGTTACTAAGCTATAAAGTAAATGAAAATTTGCTACAGATATTAATTTCAATCAACGCTAACAGAAATGAAATATCCTGAAAACTTGTTATCTGACGAGAAATAAAAAGAAGTGTACAATCAATATGTGGAAAAGTAAGAATTCAAGGACAAAAAAAAAAAAACAATGTTAATAACAATAAAAAAAGTGTTCAAACTTTTAAAATATATCGTAAATGAATGAACAAATGAATATAAAGAAGGTGATAATGATAATTATATAAAAATAACAACAAAAATATTCCCTTACAGTAATTACTGATTTATGCATATTTGAAAAGATTTTTTGAATTAAAAAATTTAAACTTCACAAAGTTTTCATTTTAAAAAAAAAAACAAATAAATGATAAAATAAATAAACAAACAAGTTTTTTTTTTAGCTTTCAACAAGAACATCAGGAGATAGAGGCAGAAAGAAAGGAGAAAAAGAGAGAGAGGGGAAAAAAAATTGGGAGAAAGAAGATTGTTTGCCTGGTTCACCTGAGCCTGAAGTTATAATGTGCCAAATTATTGATCACCATTACTACCACTACTACCACCGCTACAACCACCGCCACCACCCGTTTGTGTACCGTCATAATCGACGGATCGGAATGTGCAATCGGTTTGTTGGCAGCGCACCTGTTGGTGCTGCGGACAGCGACGTCCGCCTGAGGTAAAAGTTGTTAGCGCCCAATCCTGCTGCAAAATATTTTTTTTTTTTAAATATCATAAAGGACAACAATAAGAAAGAAAAAGAAAAAAAAAACATGTTGTAAAAATCATAAAATCCTAAGAATCACCGATAGGATGTCCAAAAAATATGCAAATATGGAAATAACATCGATAAAATTCCCAAAAATACGATCTTAATCGATCTTAATACGATCTTAATAGATTAATAGATTAAGCTTAATAGATATCAACTGCTTAATTCTATTAAGCTTAATAGATATTAGCTGAAAATTGAAGAAAAGTGGGAATGTAATAAAATATTTCATACTGCTGAAATTATAAAAATTATCAGACAGATTTCAGATAAATTCAGGAAGCATAGATTAATCAGATTATTGTAATTATATAAATCATGATTAAATCCCATTTAATTTAAACAGTAATAAAATTTAACCAAGAAAATTTTATATATGGATGAGAAAAAAGTTTTTAATTTTAAAATATGGATCAAGAATTTTGAAATAGTAATAACAATGATAATAATAAACAATAATAACAATAATAATAAATAATAATAATTAATAACAACACTGAAACACAGTAAAAAAACGCTTACTTTTCGTTTCTCGATGTCTTTATCACTATTACCCATCGCTGAATCAACAAATTCTTGAGATCCAATACCGTAAACATTACTTACCACTAAGCGCTATAATAAGATAATAATGAAAATTGATTATGCGATACGTGAAACAATTGAAATAAATAGGATTATTTATTTATTCAGAATAAAATTTCATAGAACTTTCTTCAATTTTAAAAATATTTATGTTTAAATCTTTTATCAGATTAAATATCGAAAGTAAATCAAGTAAGTTAATTCATCATTTGGTCTCTCTTACTGACTAGTTTACGTAGCTAAATAATTTTATATTGTAATTTATATTTTTAGCTGTTATGTTATTATATCTAATAAGAAATATTTATTGGTATGATCACCGATGAAATTTACTCTCAAATCTATAAATGAAAAAAAAAGATAAGGAATTATTACAATTTCGAAACAAAATCAAAGATTACTAAGATGATCAGCAATTTCGAATAAAAAAAAAAGCTTAAACAAAATTTAATTTTATTAACTCTGTTATAACTTCAAATTTTATAATTTAATTCTTAAATTTATCATTTTCATTTTTTTCCATTTTACTTCATTTTTCAAATTTATATATTTTGATATGAACTGGATTATCAACCTCCCGCATTTTCTCAAAATCCAACGATGGTCGACCGCTACTAATCATGCGACCACGTTTCAATGGATGCGTAGGCAATGCATCTAATTCATTGGCAGAATCCATTTTATTTGATTGCTGTTGATGATTGTAATAGTTGACTGTTGTTGCAGAAGCTCGACGAACACCGAGATTGTGAATAATCACTTTAACCGGTTGTCGACGTGCCGCAACAAGTGTCTCACGTGGACTGTCACCATTACCATTACCATTACCATTACCATTACCACTATCTAATAGTATCCTTTATATTATAGATTCTAATAAATTAGTATTTGAAAAAAAAAGTGCATTTTCAATTCACAACGATTTATCAATTTACAATATTATTTCACCTGTACTCAATGAAGTCTTTTCTAAAAGAAAACAAATTTAGGAAATAAAGAAACTTATGGATGTTCTGTAATGAAAAAATGGAAATATTAAGTAAAATAAAATTAAATATATCCATTCATAAACGTATGTATACGATATATATATACAGTACATACATATACGGTACATATATGTACAGTACATACATATACGGTAACTATCGGAATAAAATCTCGATCATTGAGGCTACGATAAGTCATTTAATGGTAACGTATGTATTGAGCGTAATAATGGGCGGATATATTTATTCGCTCTGAATGAAGCATGCAAATATCAATTGTCACATTATTCCGCTTTCAAAATATTTGAACATATAATAAAAATTAACATATTAAAATAGGAATAACAAATAATTCCTATCAACTGTACGATGGGAAACGCTCACTAACTTTCCGTTTTTTACTGATAGTTTCTGCTTGTGAACGAACAATCATCGATCATATCTGCTAATCTTATTCAGCAAGCAAGTTAAAACTGTTTACATTTATTTCCAAAAAAAAAAAAATTTTTTTTAAGCATCTATCCATACGGTAAAAAAAAAAGGTAAATAATAACTTACTATTATAACTACGAAGTCGGGTAGCAATCGGTGAAGATGGTGATTTTGGTGTTTCACGGCCAAAACGAAATTTTGATGCGATACTTTCATATCGACGTTTCTCGCCAATTATTCCGTGATTTACTACTGATTGTTGTTGTTGTTGTTGTTGTTGTTGCAATTGATTATGATTGGTAAGTATTAAATCGAATGCAATATTTTTGTTTATCATTGTTCCAGAATCCTAAAATAATGCCAAAATTAGTTAATTTTTAGGAATTAGAAGTATTGGATTTTGCAGAAATTTTGAAAATATAAAATACACTCTTATCAGTTCACTATGTGTTCATTTTTTCAACTTTCATTCGTCCATTTGCAATATGATTATTATTAAATAGATAAGCAGGGTAATAAGTCTGTTGAAAAAAAAAATTAATTTTTCAAATAATCAATATAATTTTTCAACATTTAAAACTTAAGCATTTCGTATATGGTAATGAAAATAGGAATTGATATCAGAATGGAGTAGAGAAATAAGGAAAGAATTGATAGAGAATAAAAAAATTATTTTTATCTAAAGTGGCAAATTGTAACATTTTTAATCGTTTTTATCCTTTATTCTCCTCTCTATCAACGCTTGCTTTTACTCATTTCTCGAAGATATGTTTTTTCTTTTTTCTGCTAAGCTTAGAATATTTATTTGTTTTAGTTAAAAAAAAATAAAAAAAACAATAAATTTGCATGTGGAAATTTGTACAGCAAGAAAGAAAACAAACAAATTTACACAACTGATTACTGCTGATTAATTATTTTACCGTTTCATAGACAAGCAAAAAATTAGAACATGGAAAATTAAAATAAACAGAATATTTGTCAATAATAACAAGGATGATGAATGGAGAAGATGGATGAGAATATCGCTCCACAAATTTCTATGTCCTACTTTTATTTTATAATCCGATCAGTGAGATTCCGCATCGCAGTGCAAAAATAATCGAAGCGTTTTAAAATGCATGTATGAAATTTCTGCTTCTGATAGTTACTGATATCAACAATTAAATGCTCCGTTTCTAATGCCTAATTTTGGAACCAATTTTAATGCTTAATTTTTAATGTATAATTTTCATCACAATTAGCTACCTTTACAATCATAAAATAAATCAGTAAATTTAATCAAATTATGATAACAGTTATTTTTCTTCTCTAAAAAAAAAACAGCCATAATAAGTTACGAAAAAATGAACATTTTATATAATGAAAAAACAGAGAGAGAGAGAGAGAGAGAGAGAGAGAGACATTTGAGCAGTAAAATTTTGTCAATGACCAAATTTTTATTACCTATACCTATAGGCCGGTGTCTATTTCTGTAAAACTCTTTTCACAACAACTAAAAATGGCCGAAATGGTTGAAAGACAGGAATGAAATTTAAAATTGAGGAAAGATTTAGAGGACAAACAATAATTAGCGATTATCAACGAAAAGATGAAAGAGCTCGTCGGCGCCATCTTTATAACTTTAAATTGAAAAAGACGACTAAAGCAAGACAATAGGTTACCGCTATCCGGCAATAACAACCATCAATATCATGTCATTTCACTGAAAAAAAAAATAATAATAAAACGAAAAAAAAAGTGAAAATTATCGGAAATTGCTAGAAAAGGAATTTTTACGATTTTGAAAAAAAAGTTAGCTAAATGATACGATTACAAATTATAATATAATAATACATCTCGTACGAATTGACAACAGATACCAATGAAATGGATAAATAAAATCAAAAATAGGAAAAATTTCAAATTTAATTAAAGTAATCATTGATCATATGTCATTAACATCATAAATTTTGCATTTTTGATTGCAACAGGAATAAAAAAAAAAAGTAATAACTTGGATAAGTTTGAATGACACAGAATTATTGATTTAGGATATGATTGCAAATTTTCAGACATAAGGACAACAGAGAGAAGAAATATTTAACATGTTCAGAATTCATTATAATTCGTTTTTTTTTTTTTTATTAAAGTATTTGGATCATCACATAAAATATCATTCCGAATAACGAACGTTTTTGATAATATTTTGAAGAAAAAAAAAACGAACAGTGGGAGAGAGAGAGAGAGAGAAAAAAGAACGAAAGCTTGAAAAGCTGACAAGAATCATAACAATGATAAGTGAAAATAATTTGATAAAAATTGCATTACTTGAAAATGACATTTTTAAAAAAGATGTCTATAACATTTTTTGCGAGTAATTCAAATTTTTAAAATCAAAATTATCTTTTAAATAAATTTTCGGCACATTTCAAAAGCTTTCCTTTCCTCTTCTTTTTCTTTTCTTTTCTTTCTTTCAAATTATTTTTCATCAAATTTCATACCCATTTCAAATGCTACCCTCTACACTACCACAATGAGAGAATGATGATGATATTTTATGTTCAATGACAATTTTGAAGCGGATGATGACTTGCAGAATAAACAGGGTACGCAATTTTCTAGAATGGTCTGTCAATTGTCACAAAATGTAACCAACCAATTTACTTTATCATTACCATTCAAATCACACTACCCAATCCAACCAGCCACCTGCTGTGCGTAATTTACAAGGACTTTTATAGGCAGTAAAAAGAAAAAGG